AAAGATGCTAAAAGTGTGGGGGAATTAGAAGAGCAATGAGTGCCTCTTGTGCAAAAAAACAAAACAAAACAAAACAAAACTGCCCATATTAAATGAATATCAAGATAAAATATCTAAAAAGGCTTTATATCTTACTTTGGCTTCAGGCTGATAACTAGAATAGAACTTGGATCACTAAGGAAAGACAGAAATCATGTGTTACTTATTATTATAATCTCTCACTACACCTAGTACAGTGCCTTGGACATAATAGGTTTGCCAAAAAATTTTTTTTGTGAAAATTACTTGCCACCGTGAACTTTATACAATGAAATCAGATTTGAAAATATGAATAGTATAATTTCTACCAGTTTTTAAGAAAGAATGAACACTAAAGTTTTGGTTAATTCTGAATTGCCTGCATTAATACTTGGGGAGGATGTTCATCAATCAGGATGGAACCCAGGGTCATATAACACTGAATTATTTTTTGTAGTTATTTTCCTTATTATATGCTGTCTTATTCCCACAGATGTCCATAGACACTGTGGTGAGAGATGATGATTATTTGATGAGGGAACATTTTATCTTATCCATGCAGCGAGATTAAGTATTAGGAACTGTGATGAAAGTAACTTATGGAAGAACTAGGCAATTGCTTATATTACAGTTAGGCTGCAAAGAAAATGCCTAAAATGTTAGGAATTGGCCTTTGTGTTGAATTTCTAGACAGCTTATTATTTAGAAAAAATTCTTTACCTCATATGATATATAACTTAGTGGACCTGTATACAGAAAGGACATTTTACAGGATGGCCCATGTGTTTGGAACATAAACTGAGCTGCTTTTAACATCACTTCAAGTAAGTAACTCTGACCAGCCCATTTTGTTACTCTATACAACTGACAATGTGAAATTTCTTCATGTAGATTGAACTCCCTTTCACATCTTGATTCTTCCATTGCTACTTAAGTTACCAAGACACTTTCCTTAGGTTACTACTATTCCTGTTTATCTGAAATCATTCATGGTGCCAGTGGTTGTTTCTAGATAATCTCAACTATGGTGTTTCTCCAACAGTGATCAGGCACAAAATGTGTTGAAGTGGGAACATGAGGCTACTGACACACAGAAATGTTCTTGAAGTATTTTTACAGGAGTATTAGTAGAGTCCCACTAACCTACCTAATCAGGACTTCCTCCACGTGTTTCACTGAATACTTAATTACTTGATATCCACTAGTGAACAATCTAGAGGAAAGTCCCTGCCTTAATGGAGCTTAGACTATGTTCATCAGGAACATATGCTTGTAGGTGTGTATACCTGTCATGGTTTATTGTTGGTCATCAAGTTTGGGTGAAAAAGCAAACCAGCAACTTCTGCTGTTCCCTCTGTCTGGAACACTCTATTTTCCTCCCTGATCCTTCCAAGGCTGTTTTCTTCTCAGCATTCATATATCAGCTTCATTGTTTACCTCCTTTGACCAACCTTCCTGGACCACACCGATCTAGTGTTGCAACCCTCACAGCCCTTGCTGTGATAGATAGCCTCTTCTGTTTTCACCAAAATGCATCACTACTGGTAACTAATTTATTAATTTGTATATTATCTTCTCTAGTACTGGAATGTAATCTCTGTGAAAGCAAGCAAGTGTCTGGTGTGACTTGCTTGTAATTAAACCCCCAGTGATTAGTGAATTGCCTGACATACTTGCTAAGTAATCAGATGAATGCGGTGTCACAATGATTGCTAAAACAGTGCTGCCCATATACACATAATGTGAGCCACATATGGCATCTGATCTTTTCTAGTTTCCATGTTAAGAAAGTAGAAGAGAAATAGGTTAAATTAGTTTTTGTAATACATTCTGTTTAACACAAAATACCTAAAATTTGTCATTTCAACATGTAATCAATATAAAAATTTAATTAGACATTGTACTTTTACTTCATATTGTCCTCAAAACTCAGTGTATATTTTATAGTAACAGTACACCTCAATTCAGACTAAATTTTTTTTTTGAAATATTTGGTAGATATTCAGATTTCATAACAGTTGTATTTGAAAAGTAGATTAACATATCCAAGTTTGTCCAAATATATTTAAAAATTCTTAAATAAGTGAATTAATAATTGTTTCTTAAATTTTAATTAAAATTAAGTAAAGTTAAATAGTTTCTCAGTTACATTAGCTACATTTATAGTGTTCAATACCAAATAGAATGACAATGTTGGCTATTCCATCTCTAAAACAATATTTAAATTGCAGTCTTACAATACATGTGATATATATTCAAATATGATAATCACTTGAAGATCTAACTTAAACAATTCATTACTTAAAGGAAAGCATCAACATATATTTTGCAAAAAATAAACTGGTATTTATAGACTGGGAGAAAATATGTGTAAAGACACATTGGTAAAAGGCTGTCATCCAAAATATACAAAGAATTTTAAAAACCCAAAAAGAGTAGTAAATAAGCCCCAGAGATCTCATGCACAGTGTAGTGAATATAAACAACAATATTGTGATATAATCATCAAACTTGCCAAGAGACTAAAAAGTTAATGATTCTATTGACAAAGAAGAAAGGATAATTATATAACATGACAGAGGTTAACATGTTGTATGCCTTAAATTTGTACAATGTTATATGTCAAATATATTTTAATTTTAAAAACCTCAACAATAATAAAACAAACAACCCAATTTAAAAAATGGGTCAAAGCCTTGGCCGGGTATATCCCAATATGCCAAGTTTGCGGCAACTATCCCTGGCTATAATGCATACAAAATCAACAAACAAATGCATATATAAGTGGAACAACAAATCAATCTCCCCCCCCCCCCGCTCTCTCTCCCCCCGCTTCCACTTTCTTAAAAAAAGTCAATAACTTTTTAAAAATGGGCCAAAGACCTTAACAAATACCTTACCAAAGAAGATATACAGAGAGCAAATAAACAGTTGGAAAGATGCTCCACATCATATGTCATCAGGAAAATGCAAAATAAAACAATGAGACACCATTTCACATCTGCGAGAGTGGTTAAAATCCAGAACACTGACAACACCAAGTGCTGGTGAAGATGTGGAGCAAAAGAAAACTCTCACTTACCACTTTTAGGAATGCAAAATAGTGTAGCCTCTTGGGAAGACAGCTTGGTAGTTTCTTTCAAACCTAAACATACTCTTACCCTGCTGTCCAGCCATAATGCTCCTTGGTATTTACCCAAATGACTTGAAAAGTGATGTACACACAAAAACCTGCGCATGAACATTTTGAATATTTATAGCAGCTTAGTCATCACTGTGAAACTTGGAAGCAACCAAGATGTTCTTCAATAGGTGAATGAATAAATAAACTGTGGTCCATCCAGACAATGAAATATTATTCAGCACTGAAAAGAAGTGAGCTATCAAGCCAAGAAAAGACATGGAGAAACCTTAAATGCATATGACTAAGTGAAAGAAGGCAATCTGGAAAGACTGAATACTGTGTGATTCCAACTCTACGACATTCTGGAAAAGGCAAAACTATGGAGACATTATAAATAACAATGGTGTGGGGGTGAGTGGTAGGAGAGAGGTGAATAGGCAGAGCACAGAGGATTTTTAGGGCAATTTACACCTAAAACTTTTCTTAAAAAATAGTCTCAAAAGCAAAACAACACAAAAACACAAAAAAGTAAATGATTATTAATTCAGAACATGACACAAAGTTATCTCTGTATTAAGATCAGTCATTATTATTCACTTGTTCAATGGTAAATGGGAATTTATAAAAGCAAGCCTACCCCCAGGGTGGTTCACCATCCGCAGTCTTTGAGTCTATGCAGTCACCCAGAGTGGACAGACATAATCACTGTACCAATAACAAATGCAACACTTAAAAATTACTATTGTATCTTCTGCCCCAAACATTTTTGGGAATCCCTCAGGACACTGGCATGAGTCTGGGAATCAGTCGAATCGATGATGCATTCAGCAAATGCTCTTCAGTGGAAACACAGAGCAGTGATTCATCCCTCCACAATATTTTAGATTTTTTTCTTTTCTAAAATTTAGATATGTTTGTGGGAGTTGTTATACATGTGAACATCGATCATTCTGGTGTGGCGGGGCAGAATTGAAAACCATAACTATTCTAGAAAAGTCATCTCATAGATGACTCTGTATGTGAAAGAGGGAAATAAGTTTTTGATAGTCTCTGACCAGACTACTTCTGATCACTTTAAAGTCAAATGACACCTTTTAGAGCTGGATAAATCAAGAGCTTATAATGTAATATAGGAAATGAGTAACCATTCTCAGTATGAGGATTATATTTTTGGATTGGAACCTAATTTTTAAGGAGTTTGCAGAAATCAATCAAATGCATATGCTCTCATTTATAGGATGAAAGAGTGAGAATAAATTATTGTTCATCAATTAAATCTACAGTCCAGATTGCTGGTGGATTAATTGAATTTACTTTTTTATTCATACAAAACATTTAAAATGAGAAACCTGGGGTATTTTGAAATATCATTATTTATTTTCTTTTAATTACCAGGTAATTCCTGAAAGTACTGTCCCAGAGAGTGTTTGCAATTACTTAAAAATCCCCAAAGCAATTTTTATGTTCCTCAATTCAAAAGAACCAAAGAATAGTAATTTAATATAAACTCCAGAAAACAGGGTCAAAGTTTATCCCAAGATAATTACTCTGCTCTGCTCTACACTGGAATAAATATATGAAAATAATAAGGGGAAATATAATGCACTGAGTATTAAAACCATCAAAACAGGCATGTTTAAAATATTCTGTAAGTGGTTAAAAATAATTTGCACTTTCAGCCCAATGGCCGTTTGCCAGAGAGAAACAAAGTTGAGAAATCTCTATTAAAACATGATTCAGAGAGGGAAATGCAAAGTCTGGTAATGAAGGAAATGATTCAATATCATTCCCAATTGGTTTTTCATCAGATCACATGTTCTGGGCATCTTTAAAAGGACCTTAATTGGACTCAGACAGGCACAGCACCTTCCTGAAGGCTGCAGCTTCTTCCCACCTTTTAGATAATCCTAGACAGCTTGCAAAATGTGTGATGCATTTGTAGGTACCTGGAAACTTGTCTCCAGTGAAAACTTTGATGATTACATGAAAGAAGTGGGTAAGCAAATGATGGTGGGACGACTGTATTTATACCTTTTTCTCTGGTGAAAAGGGGCTGATGGCTGTTTTCCACTCTGGAAGCATTGTCCAGACATTAAATGCTGCTTTCTGTATCGAGACTATAAAAATAGCAAGTGAGATTCATTTGTGTGTAGAAATATTGTAGACCAAAGTCACATCAGGTGAACGAATTAATATGAAAAAGGGTCTAAATGGAATTTTTGTAAGCCTACAGAAATGAAAATATTTTATTTGATTGCTATTTGGTTTCCTTGTCTCTTCGCCTGCTTTTCTTTCATTCCTTCTTGCATAAAAAAGGAGTAATAACTTGGAAATAAAACCATATTTATTTCCTAGCACGCAATAATGTCCTTCGACACTGAAAGCACTGTATTTCTCACCTTCATGTAATTTTCAAAGTAAGCCTATGTTGACAAGTTATTTTATTGTCTTAATGTTAATATATTAAAATGTGTGGTGGTTTTATGGGGACAAAAATCTTAATTTTAGAGACTGTGTTCCCTAAAGGCCTTAAATAATTCTTTGACTAGTAAATCCATGGATGCATAGAATTACTAATTTAAAAGGAGAGTGTTACCTACATCTCATACTTCCTCTTTGACAGTGGAGGCTTCTGGGTTTTTAGATGCTACTATAGTTGCCAGTGTGCTGTGCAAAGATTCCCCAGGTAATTAAGGAGGAAAAGCAAGGTTGTAGGAAGGCAGGTTCCCAACTTCAGGTATCTTCACATTGAAAACCCCTCCCATACACCCCTGTGCATGATCAAGATATATCAGGGGGCAAATTGGGAAGAAATTTCACACAATATCTATATTAAGGGTTATGATTTACTCCCTAAATTTCAAGATTTAACCTTCCCCCAAGTCATATAGAATATTTTTGCTTATCTATAAGTATTGTTTTCCTTGTTTATAGAGAAAGATGAAAATCAGAATCTTCAGCATGAGTGAGACTAATTTTCTAGAATATCAATTAATTTTGATTCAATAAACTAATATGTGCTGATATAGAAATGCCAGGACTTGAGGTTATTTAGCTATTGATTTTTAAACACACTTTACACCTTTAATATTTATATTTAAGCTCTTCTTCTACTCTGTTTTAAAATTAGAAAGTACTGATGATAGGACAATATGCTACCTCCTGAAATTAGCTAGTCTAATTGATGATGGGTAAGAAGGTATTGCCCTTGTCAGCCAAATAAGGACATAATCTCGCAAGTGGAGAATATGATATCACCCACAGGTGGCCACTCTGGAATCACACTTGGTGTTGCATCCACTCACTGTGCTGAATCACTTCCCTGTATTTGATAACAGAGTCAGGAATATATTGATGAAGCAACATATTCTCTTCCCACGTGTGGCCATTTCTCCACCAGGGAGCTAAATCAGAGCCTCACCTTTTTTTTTCAATATTTCTCTCCTTGATCCCCCCTTCTAATCTTTGGTATCTGTAAGCAACATTTAGTCAAAGAAATAGCTTATATTTATATACATGTGTTTAAAAATATCCAACACATCCACTGACTGTAGTAAATTCTGTATAACATATGCAGTGAGATTGTTGTCTGTTGGGTGGTAAATTGTTCATCCCACACCCTTCAAGAGGAAAGTAGATTCCTCTTTTTCCAAAAAAGAGAGAAATTTGTAGCATAGGTGACTAGGAATCAAAGTATTGATTACTAAAGTTATAAAATAGTGATTTGTTAAATTTTGAGGTTTTCACAATTTATGCCTAGATCCTTTTAACCTTTCCTATAATTCATTGGGAGCCATGTCATCATTCTAAAATGATATGAATGTAGAAAATGTTTTGCCTTTGGAGAAATTCATCAAAATCTTCATTCCATGGTGGAGTAATGTGAAAAAGTTAACAAGCTAGATGGGCAGCAAGTGCCACAAAATGTAAGCTTTGGACACCCAAACAAGTGATTTTTTTTAACTGTGTAGCTCTATATTGGCCTTTTCAAAATTCCATTTTTGACTGTGATTAGATCATTTTTATCTAAGAAAAAAAGTTCACGGTGCCCCAAGTGTTTCATGAATTGAGTGAAATGACAGGTGCTGCCTTAATGGCTGAGATGGCCAGTTAATGTGGGAGTGCAGTGGCTTTTTAAAAATATATGCATTTCAGAAGACTTCATCTTTGTATGCATTCTTGTTGAAATTAACAATGGGTCTCCTGAGGAGCTGCATCTGAATGACAGAGGGAAAATTTAAAGAACAAATCTACAGCTAATTGTGCATCATGTGCCTCTCTAAATATTAGCCTCTTTATTTGTTTGCAGGAGCTGTTGAAATAAGGCAATTAAGAAACTCACCGGTTTTCCTTTTTATGCACATGTGCCCCCACCTGCACACATGCATACACACGCATATAGATATACTACAGCTGTTTCTTAAAGATGTGAGAGAAAATTGTAAACCTGCTGTTTCTTCTCTTCCCACCCACAGGAGTCGGCTTTGCCACCAGGAAAGTGGCTGGTATGGCTAAACCCAACATGATCATCAGTGTCAATGGGGATGTGATCACTATTAAATCAGAAAGTACATTTAAAAACACAGAGATTTCCTTCAAACTGGGCCAGGAATTTGATGAAGTCACGGCAGATGACAGAAAGGTCAAGGTGAGGAATAGGGTTTGGAGCAGAGGAAAAGCCTGCTAAATATCCAACCACTCCTCCAAGAAGCCATTCTGTAAGGAAGAAAAACCTTCTACCACAGGTTGAAGATCACTGGCCTACACGTAAACCATGTTGCCTTCGATATTTCGTTGGTGAATTTTACTCCTTTTTATAAAGTTATCATTATTATTTTAAGAAACAACTATTTATCTGTCATTCCATATATATAATAATTAAGTGGATTAAAGTAACAATGTTAGAGAAATTTATAAAGAGTGGGAAAATCACTTATAATACTACCACCTTGACATAAGTTTATTACCTATATTCTTTCACAGTATTTTTTCAAATGCATGTTTGTATAATATTATGATCATAATGTATATATAACTTTGTATGCTTTTATTTTTGACATTCATTTATTTTCTTGTTGCAATATATTCTTGTATTTAGAATTTCTAATGACCTCAAAGACTCCTTCAAACCAAGGTGGTGTATTTTTTATTTTATTTCCATATACCATGTAAAAATTGTAACTATTTTTTATTGCACCTGCAGAGCATCATAACCTTAGATGGTGGTGCCCTCGTACAGGTGCAGAAATGGGATGGAAAGTCAACGACCATAAAGAGAAAGCGAATGGATGATAAACTCGTGGTGGTGAGTGTGTTCTAGCTGCTAGATTCTACTGCTAGGCCATCTTATAATTATCATCCCACCTAAACAAACAGATATTCACTCTTGCTTATGGATAGAACAAAAAGTAATTCTCTTGGGATCATAGTTTCATAATTGGTCTTCATGCTTATAGCTCAGCCTGGACATGCTGTCCACCAGGGAGCATTCCCTGACCCCTCAAAGCATGTACCATGTTGTATTCTGCATTTGCTTGTATTTCTCACCCTGTATTTCCCGCCCTGTATTTCCCGCCCTGACTGTATGGTTCCTTAAGGGAAAGACTTGTATCTTCCTGGTCTTTATATCTCTTTAATTTATTACAACATCAGGTATACATAGGAACCCAGAACAAATATCTTTCAAATGAGTGTTGTTTCCTTCCCAACACTGAAGGAGATAAAACAGAACAAAACAAAAAACCCATGATTGACCAAGAATTCTTCTGTGTCTAGGAATGTGTCATGAAAGGCGTCACTTCTACCAGAGTTTACGAAAGAGCATAAACCAAGGGATATTGAACTGGACGGAAGTTTGCATCGAACTCTATGCCATTCTGTTGGATATGTTGTCCGAAAATATATTGTTATTTTCTACTAATTAGTGAGCAGCTAATTTTTTGCCAATCTGATTTTATTCAACGTGGTTTCATTTCATTGGTTAAATAAAGTGTTTTAGAGTTAGAAGATGATGTAATGATTTATTCACTGTGCCAGAGAATTTCTTACTTATAACTCAGAGAAAGAAATAGAAAATTGTTTCTATTGCATTATGTCTGGTATAAGCAATATGATTTTTTCATAATAATCCAAGGTAAAAAAAATTAATATTCATGAATTTTCTATTGTCTTAGTAGAAATAAACATGCTATTATGGAATATGAAGTTTTTCAGTATATCTTCAGTCAAGTAACTTTTGCAGAGACCTAGGATAGTTTTAAAAGTATAGTAATTTCCCCTTATCCATTAGGAATACATTCCAAGACCCCCCCCCCCCAGTGGATGCCTGAAACTATGGAGAGTATCAAATCCAATATATGCTATGTTTTTTTCTATACTTTCAATATTATGATGAAGTTTAATTTATAAATTAGGCACAGTAGAGATTAACAAAAACTAATAATAAAATACAACAATTACAACAATATACTGTAATAAAATTTTGTGAAGTTGACATCATTAAGTAAAATAAGGCTTACTTGAACACAAACATCATGATACTGTGACATTTGATCTGATACACAAGATGGCTACTGAGTAGCTAATGGGTCGGAAGACAGAGAGATAATTCACATCCCAGGCAGAATAGAGAAGGATGTTGTGAGATGTCATCAAGCTCCTCAGAACAGCATGAAGTTTACAATTGATGAATTGCTTATTTATGGAATTTTTCATTTAATATTCTCCTACTGCAGTTGACCTTGGATAATTGAAACTGTGAAAAGTGAACCTGTGGTTAGGGGTGGGGGATGACAGCCTTTGGAGATTTTGTGGGTTCAGTTCCAGAGCACCTCAAGAAAGCAAGGATTGCAATATAGCAAGTCATATGAATTTTTTGGTCCCAGTGCATATACAAATTATGTTTACACTATTACGTGTGCAAGGGCATTATGTCTAAAAAAAAGGTACATACCTTAATTTAAAAATTCTTTATTGCTAAAGAATGCTACCCATCATCTGGTCCTTCAGTGAGTTGTAATCTTATTCCTGATGCAGGGCCTTGCCCTAGTAACATCAGGGATCACAGATCATAGGTCACTATAACAAATAAAATAATAATGACAAAGTTTGAAGTATTGTGAGAATTGCCAAAACGTGACCCAGAGACACAATGCGAGCAAATGCTGTTGGAAATATGGTGCCTATAGACTTGCCCAACACAAGGTTGTCAGAAACCTTCAGTTTGTAAAAAAAACACAGTATCTGTGAAGTGCAACAAAACAAATATAGCTAGCCCAGGTGCTGTTATTCAAATCTACCTGTCCTGTAGCAATGAGAGAGAGAAGTAGAGTAACAATGCACATCGTAAAAAAAGATTTCTAGGCTGCAATTTTTAATCTGAAAAGTTATTGGTAAACCAAGCTATCTCTGGAGTCTCTCAAGAACTGAGTATAAATAATTCCAAAATATTCATTCCAGAAAGGAGGTGATGACTTTGTAATGAATGATGACACAAATGTCCTCAAAGTGGTTTCCAAGTTTTTCTTACCAGTGGAAATTTTTACTCAAATAAAATGTTAAATATATTCTGGAATTTTTATTCAAATAAAATCCCCATAGAATTCCAATATATAACACAAACAATAATAATAATGAGGCTTTTCAGGTAGGGGTGTGTGTGTGTGTGTGTGTGTGTGTGTGTGTGTGTATGCATGTTAGTTATTTCCTCTACCTTGTGGAAGCTTTGAGGCACTTCTTCACATCACTGGAGTTCCAGGTACATAGAATGAAATGTTCAAATTACATGCTTACATTTTATAGTAAGCCAACATCTGTTAAAATATGTACCATGATATAACTGTGTTTGTGATACTTCTTTTAAAAATATGTCTATTATCTTCTGAACACCTATCCTATGTATAACACCGATATATGAAGAGTCCAGAAGATAAGCTACTGATTGTAAGAATTTAGCTAAAATATAGAAGCAATACAAGTGTCCATCAGCAGATGAATGGATAGCATAATATGGTCTATCCATACAGTGGAATATTAAGTGTTAAAGGAAATTCTGAGATATACTACAACATGAATGAAGCTTGAGGACGTGCTGAGTGAAATAAGACAGTTACACACACACACACACACAACACACACACACACACAAAACCCCACCAAATACTATATGATTCCACTTAGGTACTTATAGTAATAAAAATCATAGAGGCAGGGTATAGAATGGTAGTTATCAGGGGCTGGGGGAAAAGAATAGAGGGGGGTTATTGTTTAATGGGGACAGAGCTTCAGTTTTGCAAGATGAAAAGAGTTCTGGAGAAGGATGGTGAGGATGGTTGCACATAAATGTATTTAATACCACTGAACTGTATTGGTTAGGATAGTTAATTTTATGTTATATGTATTTTACTGCAATAAAAAAATAAGGAAAAAATCTAGTGTGGCCCAGTTAAAATATTATACCTACTGCAATAAATTATGAGACATATTTCTGAAAACTTTTGTAGCTTCTGATAGTAACTTTACCAGTGTGCCTCACCAATAGAGAATGTAGTATATTAAAACTAAAATTTATTAAAAACTATTTAATACCTAAAATGTCACAAGAAAGTTTATATAGACAATGAGATATTGTAGAAGCACATAAAATGAGATAACAAAGAAATAAGCACTGAAATCATTAAGAAAATAAAACATATAACTATCCTATAACAAATTACTGCATTCTAGTTCTTTTATTAGGATCAACAATTAAGGACATTTTAACTTGAAACATTTTTAGTTGAGGAAATGATTTGGGCTTTGTTTGTTTATTTTTTATACTCAAACAAAGGTCCCAAAGGCTGGTGGTGGCAGCAGTGTGACCAGCAGGGAATTGTCTTGGTTGGGATGGAGACTTACATGGTCATAATGAGACACTGAGCAAAGGCCAAGGGAAGATGAGAATCCCTCAACTAGCTGACGACCATGCTAAAAGCCCATTATACAAGCAGGGCAGGTGAGAACAATGTATTTAAACCTCATCTCTAGTCACTGTAAGAGAGGCTAGGATCACTAAGGAGGGTAACTGTCAGTTAAAAGGAAATAAACACTGCTTATTCCTTTTGTCATCCATTCATCAAACATTTCTTGAGCACCTCCAATATACCAGGCAATGTCTTAGGAATACAAAGGTGACTAAGAAAAAATTTCTTTGTTTGACAAATTCACAAAATAGTTAGGGGACAGTGGGAGGTTAACTCCTGGTAATACTGTGGGAAAAGTTCCCTTAAGAAATTTCTGTTAAAATATGCCTGTGTCACATAATAGGGATCAACTAGCTCTGAACCAGTGTCACAAAGATGTTGGTGATAGATCTGGAAAGATGGGTGATGCTGTGAGGCTGTGCACACATGGCCACTATCCTATGTTGCATGTAATTGATTGTTGTGAGAATCCAAATTTATCAGTTGGGTGAAAGTTATTTACAAAGGTATACTGACTATAAAGGCTTAAGGTGCAAATCACACTCAGACACAAAATTGTTTAAATAATAATGGACTTTATTAATTCATATAATAAGAATTTCAGAAATGAGGTAGCTTCAGTTCCTCCCTGTTTTGCACCCTGCCATTCTCAGTTTTGGCTTTATCTTTAAGTTGGTAATACAAGAAAACAAACTGTGTTAAGGCGAAGAGAGACTATCCCTCCGGCATTCTTTAAGGGGTAAGGATATTTGATAGAAGGCAGAAATTTGACTTTCCCATTTGTCTCATGAGCCTTCTGAGTGCTAAAAATGGGCCACAGGATTGATTTCTGGCAGGGGAATTAAAGAAATGATGGTTACACTAATGGGAGACCTCTTTTCCCATTAGCCCACTGGCAAACACGTGCAGCCATGTATGTTTGCTATCTCTCAGAGGAGAGTGCATGCACACCTAAAACCAGTTAGGGAATATCTAATCATGTGCTCTTCATTAGAACATCACCTGTGAGGACACTTTCAACTGTGAAGGTACTTATCTTGAGCCCAGGTCTCAGTTTCCTAAAACTGACTCTTGGGTTTTTCCTCCAGTTTTGCCCTCCTGATATTTTAATGACTATTCCACCTATAAAGATGCTGCATTATAAATTTCCTTTTTATATGTTTTCATCAAAAGAAATTCTTTAGCCTACTTAATTTAAAAGCGTGTGGTGCCAAAACATCAACAACCTTTTTTAAAAAATTTGTTTTTTTCCACAAAGAGATGGTTTGAATAAATATTTCTCTGAATTGAAGGAATATTTAACACAGGCAGACAATAGTATGAATATTCTTCCTCTACTTTTCCAGCTTTCTTCAAAACAACTGGAGCTCAGGGCTGTGACATAAATCTAGAGCCTCTGACTCTAATCCTTCTTAGTAACCACAATACGTGCAAAGTTCACTTCCATTACGTGGGTTGCAGAAGATGATTTCAGACATAGTTGCACAAAGATTTAAATTACCTGCTTATTTGTCTTTAGAAAGCATCTATCAAAATACTGTATCTCCCCTAAAAACTTTCCTTCACAAGTTTCAGTGGTATCTTTTAATATCAAGCTTACTTTGTAAGCCTAAAAGATGAATTTTCCAAGCATTAGCCCTACCACCATTTTCGAGCTTAAATCACAGAACACTAATCAATGATAATTGTTACTTTTCTTGCCAGTTTACAATTACTCTTGATGAAGAACAATGATGAAGAAAATTAATAATAGCCCACACCTCACTCCAAGCAATTATAGATATTTCAGTTACATTAACTGGTATCAGTTCATCAACACTGCAAGGAAGGGAGGGGAAGATATTATTTTAATGAAGAGAGTTCTCTGGTAATGTGATTTGTGCAAACAGAAAAACAGCTGAGGTGTGGCCAAGTAAGGATGTCCTTGTATTGGGGGGACAACACTCAGTCAGCTGTTTGTTAGACATCTGTCAGGGGATTCCTTCAGAGTTGACTAAGCATTCATTCAAAAGGCTGATATCTATGGAAAATTGTTTCCATTCTACAAGTTATATTTATTAGGTGGACCTGGGGTATAACTCTCTTTGCCAGAAGCTATAATCATTGACCTAAATTCAACTTCACATGTTAATCTTCTGCTCCTTAATTTGGAGGTAGACAAAATGAGTCAACGCTGGTGCTTGGACTCTTTGATCTTGCTGCTACATATTGGCCATTCCAAGAGAGTCACATGATGAAAATACATTTTAAATGAAGATGCTGTAACACTGTGCTGCCTACGTTTCTTTGGCTTCCGGTTGTGAACACCTCTTCTCAGCAAGCTTTCAATCATGATCGAGCCCTTCTTGGGAAGTTGGAAACTGGAATCCAGTGAAAACTTTGAGGAATCCTTGGAACAATTGGGTGAGAAATACCACTGCAAGGTTTGGAAACTGGCCACACATTTTGTGGTGGGGTTGGGTTTGCATTTTACCATGAGTAACCTTACAGCAATCTCTGTCCTTTGTGATCCTAGAGTACATTCACATGAGACTAACAAAGTTTATGTAGCTACTTTTGTTTTTTCTTATTACTAGTAATAATCTTTCTTTTGGCAATACTAGATTCATATATACTTCCTTCTGGTCATTATTCATATATTTAAGTCCATTTATCCTTAATGAAAATATTTGAAAAAATATTTTGAAAATAACCCCTTCATAAAGTTTCTCTAGCTAATTTCCTCATATAACTTTTCCCAGCTTCAAATGTTTAGATACTAATAACTATCTATAATTAAGTTTATCAACTACATTTGTTTCAAAGTCTACTTTAAATTTTAACTTCGAAAGAGCAATAATAACCAACAAAGTTCAGTTGGTTAACTTTTAGAGTTCTGATAACTGTGGAAGATATTTTTAAGACAATATTTTGAAGATTTTTAATTTTTTATTGGAGAAATGAAACACTTTTCTTCATTAAATATCTCACCATTTGCTATTTTTCAGAAATGCAAACCTTATCTACTCTTGAGCTCTACCCAAGTTGTGTAAAATATCAATTACAGTGCCTTGGACTATTCTTTAATAATGCTAGAAGAACTACCTAATTAAATAATTTTTAATACTTAAGAGAAACCTCTCTTGCTATAATAAGTTGTATATAAAGTCAAGAATTTTTTTGAACTTGGCCAAAATGATCAATGCAACATAAAAAGTCAATGTGCTCATAATATAATATTTGTTCATTTTCATAATCAGTATTAACTTTTCAGGGACTAATTAGAAGCATATTTTTCTATCTCTTCATGGATTCATAGACTCACCTCTTTTGAGTTTAAATTTACAGGTATCTAAGGAACTTGGGACTTCTGGCAAAAACATTTGTGTTGATTGGGAGCTGGGCTTAGGCAGAGGCAAGGGGGCAGAGCAGCTGAGTACCTACTCTGTGCCACTTATCATTTAAGTCCTTCTGCTTCACCTCCCACACACCTGTGAGGTAAGCCCTATAGTTGTGCACACTTCACTATTGAGATAACATGCCCAAACTGGTAAAGTTGGAGCCTGGGCTTTAACCACACCACCCTTCCCTCTTCTGGGACCCATGTCTAACACTGCTTCTCTGCAGTCAGACCAGTCATGTCTTTCCATAGTCTGAATGTGAAATGAGTCTGATTTTGATGCTGAGGGAGAGGAGTCAGCTCTTCTGGACCACCTTAGAGGTCAAGTTTGATAATGGACTGCCCCCACCTGAACAACAAGGTCAGGTTCTCAGCCAAATGGTTGTTTGCCACCTCCTTGGCAAGATGAGATTGAACTTGCAAATGAGACAGGTGCTTGAACTTTGTAAGTCATGTTTTTTTTAAAGTAGTTTAGGTGCTTTGAAAATTGTATTTCTTGATTTTTTTAAAAGAAAAAATGCTAAAATTCTTAAAATTAGAAAACATGTGTTTATGTCTCAGCTCTGCTACTCACCAGACACAGCACCTAGAGTGAGCCTCCTTACCTCTCTGGGACCTTGTGTCCTCATCTCCAAAATGAGGATAATGACATCTCTTATACCAGTATCTGATCACCTGAAAGGCACCATACAAATATTCATTTTAGCTGAAGCACAGTCTCAAAAAAGTGAAGTTAGCTTTGCAAAATGACAAGTATAATTAACAGACATACCCTCTGATGTGGAGAGTCTGGCTCAATCCAACTATCACAGAGCATTGATGAAATTACTTCACATCATCCAAAACTTCAATGGGGGATGCATGCATTCTTTTTAAATTGCGTCCAAAGTAATTGTTAGCACTTCTTCCTAAATATTTTAAGAAGGGCTGCTGCTTTTTCTGCATTACAGGAGTGCCTGTTACAATCCGGCACCTAGCTGCATTAGAGAAGCCAACAATCAATATTAGTGCCAATGGGGATAAGGTGAGCATCAAAACAGAGAGCTCTTTCAAGAATTTTGAGATCTCCTTCAAGCTAGGAGAAGAATTTGATGAAACCACAGCAGACAACCGGAAAGTTAAGGTAAGAACCAAATCATCTTGATGTTTCCCAGTCAGGGAAAAACAAGAAGGTGGTTGTGAAAAATGTATTCATATTTAACTTGATTAATTACCAAGTCAGTAAGGGCTTGTTTTATTCATTAATGTTGTATATCTCCAAAGCCAATCTTTTTGCAAGTCATTCTGATGTTTAACAGGGCCAAAAATTTAACATTTTCACTTTTTTTGGATCTCTCTCTGCCATTGTATAAAAAAGCATATAGAGGAAAACAGTCATCCACAAATAGTTTGGGTATCATTTGGTGGAGGAGGATATTAATTGACCAGTCTCTTTAGACTTTTCTAGTTTGATGGTATTAAATTATAACAAGAACTGATGTGAGGATTTTGGAGGAAAAATTTTCAAAATAGAGATTAAAAAGTAGTTTTATGTAGGTTAGAATGTAGTGAATTGCTATTTCTAACTGATTCCTTCATGCATTTATAGAGCATCATAACATTAGATGGTGACTCACTGGTCCATGTCCAAAAATGGCTTGGCAAAGAGACAACAATCAAAAGACAAATTGTAGATGGAAAAATGGTAGCGGTGAGTTTTCTCTAAGTGGAACTTTTTAGATGCTCCTGTTTGAAGCAGACCTCTCAAGTTTGTCAGTCACTCTGTCTGAATCCTGATTCAAGGGTCTGGGGAAGAGGGGTACAGAAAATTTAACCTGTCAACTACCAGTTCTAACAGACCCCTCTTTGCTTTTAGAAACATACCATGAATAATGTTGTCAGCACGCGAGTCTACAAAAAAGTATGAGGAAATTGTCTACATCAGAGAAAACATGCTCACTAACAGAAAAATGGGGTCTTGATGAAGATATGGCTCAGGGCCAGTGATTTTAAAGATTGCTTCATATAAATTTGCTCAATAAAAGCATCAAATTAAGTGTAGCTTTGGAGCTGTGTGATATTGAGAATTAGGAATAATCTGATAAATTGGTGGGGCAAGAAGCTACTTGCTTGTGCTGTGATTGTAAGAGCATTAACATGTTTTCTGTCCTCTACCCATTTGACTTCTGCAGTCTGGAGTTCTTTCCAGGAGAACCATTCCATTTAGGTTAAGGTATCTGTCAAATGGTGCTCTGTGGAAATTCATGTGACCTCCAAGGGGGAAACGTTATAATCATTAGAAGCTGCTTTGGGCAGCACAGATGATGAAAATGAACATTGCTGGCTTTTTATTTTTGCATAAAGCTGGCCCTACTTAAAATAGTTAGGATGGATGGATGCATGCATGCATGCAAGGATGGATGGATGGATGGATAGATATATGTATACATAGATAGACAAATAGGTAGATAACAAAATAGAGCCTGGACATCATACACTGTGGTTGAATTATTATAGAACATTTAAAAACAATTATTGTCTTCCTTACTCATAAACCCATTTATTTTTCAAAAAAGATTTTAATTTATTTTTAGAGAAAGGAGGAGGGAGGGAGAAAGAGAGGGAGAGAAACAGCAATGTGTGGTTGCCTCTCACATACCCCCAAGCAGGGACCTGGTCTGCAACCCAGGCATGTGCCCTGACTGGGAATCAAATCGACGACCCTTTGGTTTGCAGGCTGGTGCTCAATTCACTTAGTCACGCCAGCCAGGGCACCCATAAACACATTTAAAATAACCAACCTTCTGCACCTGCCACCACTTTTATAATGTAGTCTTTGCAGAATATTTCATTAAATGCCAGCCCTGAATTTCTAAATGACCACAAAGAATATAGTTATTGGAGCTACACAAAGTCCTTTAATAATTTAACTAAGTACTGTCACTAGGAAGTACTCTCAGGGCTTAGACCAAAACCTAGTAATATAGGAAAAATTAAAAGGTAAATCATAAAAAACTGAGAATGTTTGTAGCAGTGGGAGGAGGAAAGGGAAAAAAGTAGGTAAGTATTGTGCTGTACCCTAAATTTAAAAAATAAAAATAGATAATTGTTGGTCAAAAATAAATCTGGAGTCATGCTTAATGGGTGCTAAAATGGAATGTCCATGTCATTTGTCATCTAAACTGGTGGGAAGTAAAACTGGAAAGCAGCACTATCAATGATTACACCTTGAGACAGGTATAGACTGGAACCCTCCCAGGCAAACTGTGAGGGAGTCATCCTGATAAGGATGAAATTGAAGGGTAATGTACAGGACTGAGTATGGGTTAGGGTCAGAGCTGAACCCCCACAAGGAAAGAAACTAGGGCTGTCATATGAAATCCTGAAGACCTCTGAGCATACAGCTGAAATGGCAGGCTTGGTGGTGGCCACACAGCTGCCAAGTGTGAGCAACAACAGTCATCCCCACATGACTTGTCCCTGCTGGTTCTTCCCTACAGGACTCAACTCTGTACAAAATGTTACCATGCTTTCTTTCCAGAAGTCAAAGAGGCTTTTAACTCCCAAGGTAGTGTCCTGTGCACAAAAGGACCAACACCTTCTTAATTAGAAGACAGCTATCTTAGCCACATCTCAGATCAGGAGTGGAGGTATGCTCTACAACCGTCAGGGAGAAGACACTCTAAAAGACACTAGGCATTTATTCATTTAAATCTTTGGCTTTGCAGAGGCATAATTAAGAAAAGAATAATACAGTTCTGAATTTTCTAGACTTATTTCTCTTCTCCTAAATGTGATTGATCAAAGCACAATAAGCCTTAATGAGAAACAAAATCCTAGTGTTGGGTCTTTAGTAGGTGGCATCAAACATAACACTCTTGAGGAAGTCATTCATTCAACAAGTTCTTACTCAGCCACCACTGTCTGTTCATGCTGTACCGGGTGCTAGAACACAGCAAATGAGTTAGACATGAAGTTCACTCCTGCCTTCAGATGTTACAAGTAACAGAGACATCATGAAACCCTATTGCCTTCATTTTTATTCTCACTCAAATCATGTAAAAATGTCTATAAGAAAAAATTCATTAAAGTTTATAGTCTCATTACAAGATCAGTCTCTTGGTGTATCTGACTTGCCTTCAAAAGTCATTATCTGTGAGTAAATGATAACATGTCACATTTATCAAGTTGTATTAGATTTATTGTTATCTATTTGTAAGTAAATGATAACGTCATTTTTATCAAGTTTTATTGGAAATAACAGAACTTTTCATTATAGTGAGTTAAACAATGAAAAACCATTATTCACTCATTTTCCAAAAAAGTTTGAAAGAAGGAAGTAGAGTATATTTTATAAGCCTCAGAAAAAAACTTTATTTTTAAAAATTTTTGTTCAGAATAATTTAGTAGTAAACCATTACATTTTAAACACATGCTGATGTTCATAGGAAAAATGTTAATTATCCAAAGATCAATCATACTAGAACCATGATCAATACTATTATTAAAGGATAATGCACGAAATTTCTTTTTTTTTTTGCTACCCAATACTATTTAGCAACTCAATGACAAAAATAATTTTCAAATATTCCTAGTGTATTTAATTTTCACACTTTTTGCACAAAAAATGCAATTAATACAAATGGACATCCAAAGATAGTAACCAAAAATTGATGGAAAATTAGGATGAAGTGTCAAGGTATAACTTAATTCCTAAGCTATAAGTTCTAAAGATTTCTTTTTGAAAATTTAGGGGAAAATATAGTCTGTTCATTTTGACATTTGGTATCTAGATGTGTAAGTTTTGGAGAGGGACAAGGTGAGTGGGTGGAGCCATCTCCCCACAAGCCCCAAGATAGAATGGAGTCAGCTGTTGTCCAGAGATGCACTGAGTGAAGTGGGGTGAATGAACCTGAGGCCTCCTCCTGCCATTATCAGCTGTGGTGAGCATGAAATGTGCCATGTAACCACTGAACTTTTCTACTTTGCAAAATGGAGAAATCTACATCACAGGGCTGTGGGAAGGGTAAAAGACTTTATGCAGTGGACCAGCACAGGAAATCCCTCACTTTTTCATGTTTCCCACAGCCCCTTCCAGATTATAAATGGATCTGAAAGCACAGAGTAGGGACAGTGTAATGGAGGGCATGTTCAACAAACAGTTGGCAGAATGTCAGAAGAAGAGTCTTAGTGGAGGTGAGCTTTGAACAAGGTCTGGAAACAACTCAGTTAGGAAGTGGGGGTTGGGGAGAATAAGCAGAGAAATGGATTCTGGTTTGCTTTATAAAATAAAGTTCAGATTTCAGTAGATGCTGATTAAAAGTAATACCTTTCAATATATAAATTACAAAGTAATTTCATAAAATGAGATATGTAAATTATACTTTCAGTCTTTTTTTTTTGTTAGCTGGATTTTTTATTATAGATTTTTGTTATTTATCATTGTGAATACACATTCATTTCATTCATTTCATTCACATCCATTCATTTTCTTTTTTTTAATTTTCATCCACATTCATTTTCTTTTTTTTTAATTTTATTTATTTTTTTTAATTTATTTACTTTTTAAATACATTTGTCTCTGCCTTCCCCCCACCTCTTTCCCTTGCCCCCTCCCACCTTCCCTCCCTCAGCTCTTCCCTTTTGGTTTTGTCCATGAGTCCTTGCTATATGTTCCTTGACTTTCCCCTTCCCTTCCCTTTCCCTGCCCGCCCCTTTTCCCTCTTGTCTCTGTTGATTTCTTTTCCTTTCAGTGTTGCTGGTCATATTTTCCTTGCATCTTTGCATTGTTGGTTAGGTTCCGCTTATAGGTGAGATCATATGGTATTGGTCTTTTGCCCCCTGGCTTATTTCGCTTAGCATGATGCTCTCCAGTTCCATCCATGCTGTCGCAAAGTTTAGTACTTCTTTTTTTCTTTCTGCTGCGTAGTATTCCATTGTGTATATGTACCATGATTTTTTGATCCATCATCTACTAATGGGCATTTAGGTTGCTTCCAAGACTTGGCTATTGTAAATTGTGCTGCTATGAACATTGGGGTGCATAGGTTCTTTTTTATAGGCGTTTTGGTGTTCTCAGGGTATAATCCCAGCAGGGGAATCGCCGGATCAAAAGGCAGTTCCATTTTCAGCTTTTTGAGGAAATTCCACACTGCTTTCCACAGTGGCTGTACCAGTCTGCATTCCCACCAACAGTGTACTAGGGTTCCCTTTTGTCCACAGCCTCGACAGCACCTGTTGTTTGTTGATCTGTTTATGATGGCCATTCTGACCGGTGTGAGGTGGTACCTCATGGTGGTTTTGATCTGTATTTCTCTGATGGCTAGTGATGCTGAGCATCCTTTCAAATGCCTCTGGGCCCTCTGTATCTCCTCCTTAGAAAAGCATCTGCTCAGGTCCTTTGCCCATTTTTTGATTGGATCGTTTGTCTTCTTGGAGTAGAGTCGAGTGAGTTCTTTATATATCTTGGAGATTAAACCTCTATCTGATGTATCATTAGCAAATATATTTTCCCATGTGGTTGGCTCCCTTTTCATTTTGCTGATGTTTTCTTTCACCGTGCAGAAGCTTCTTATTTTTATGAGGTCCAACTTGTTTATTCTTTCCTTTATGTCCCTTGCTTTAGGAGACATATCAGTGAAAAAATTGCTGCATGGGATATCTGAGAGTTTCCTGCCAATGTTCTCCTCGAGGACTTTGATGGTGTTGCGACTTATATATAAGTCTTTTATCCATCTTGAGTTTATTTTTGTGTACGGTGTCAGCTGATGATCCAATTTCAATTTTTTGCATGTAGCCGTCCAGCTCTCCCAACACCATTTGTTGAAGAGGCTGTTATTGCTCCATTTTATGCTTCTGCCCCCTTTGTTGAATATTAGATGTCCATAGAGACCTGGGCTTATTTCTGGGCTTTCTATTCTGTTCCACTGGTCTACGGGTCTGTTCTTGTGCCAGTACCAGATTGTTTTGAGTATGGTGGCTTTGTAGTAGAGTTTGATGTGCGGTATTGTATCCCTCCTACTTTGTGTTTCTTTCTCAAAATTGCTGCGGCTATTTGGGGCCGTTTATGGTTCCATATAAATTTTTGAAATGTCTGTTCTATTTCTGTGAA